TGTCAAAAAAGGTAGCAAAGTTCTCTACTTGAAATTCAAACACCCGAACTCCTAATGGGGAACCCATCCATACCACCCGTGCAATTTCACAGTACAAAAGACAGTGTAGCACGGGTTCCTTTTCATTTCCACACATAGGGCATTCTAAGTCAACATTGACATGTCTATGGTGCAAGTTGTCCTTTGTGGGTAGAATATTACGGTAAGCACTCCACATTAGTAAACATACCTTTTCTAGCACCCTCATAAACCACAACTGCTGACCTCTAAAGTTGGAGGAAGAACTCAAAGGACGATCTCAGTTGCCTCGCATCTTCATAGCTTTATGATAGCTAGATCTCATAGCATATTTTCCATGCCAAGTAAAGTTCCAAGTCCAATTATCATCCATCCTCGTCCAACTAAGAGGCAGAGAAAGAATTAATTAAGCTTCCTGAGCACTAAATGTATGCAAAAATTAAATTTGCTTCCGCTGATGGGATTCCTCCTCAATGAGGTCACTAACATAATGAAGCTCACATCCAGTAGGCTTTGGTGTTTGGACATGGAACTGTGAGTTTCTCGAGAGCCACGGATCACCCCCTATCTCTGTATTGAGCCCATTTCCTATAAGCTTCCGGCAACCTTGTGTCAACAAATCCATAGAGTTCCACATGCTTCTCCATGTAAGGTTGCATGTGGGCTTTACTTGAGCATGTAAAAATCAATTCTAGGATAGTATTTGGCCTTTATAAGCCTTGCTGCTAGGGAATCTGGATTAGTTAAGAGTCTCCAACCTTACTTTCCTAACATAGCAATATTGAACTCATGCATTGCCCAAAACCCCAAGCCCCCATCCTTTTTCGAAATAGCCATTCTTTACCATTCTTCACCATTCCAGCCAATGTATCTTATACTCCTCCTCTCCACCCTTCCACCAGTACCTATTCATAATCCTTTCCAAGTCTGTACAAAGTCTAGTGGGAAAAAGAAATAGCCCCATAATATATGTTGGTAGGGATTGCAACATTGACTTTATTAAGATTTCCCTACCAACTCTTGATAATGGCTGTTCCCTCCATTCGCCAATACGCTTCCAGAATTTGCTTTTCAAGCTAGCAAAAGTAGCTGTTCTAGAACAATCCACAAGTGCTGAAAAGCCAAGGTATCTCCCTAGTTGTTCAGCCTTGATCCTGTTCAAAATACACGAGATACTGTCCCTCAATCCCTGTCGAACACTGCAGCTAAATGTGATGGAAGATTTCTGTAAGTTGATAACTTGGCTAGAGACTTCCTCATATGTTTGGAGAATAGCCTTCAGATTCTTTACTTCAGTCTCACTAGCTCGTAAGAAAAGAAAACTATCATCAACAAAGAAGAGATGGGAAATTTTTGGGGCTTGCCGGCAAATACGGATTCCATGAAGTTACTTCCAATATTCAGCCTCTTTGACCATAGCAGTGACACCTTGAGCACATAAAATAAATAGATAAGGTGATAATGGGTCACCTTGTTGGAGGCCCCTAGTTGGAGGCCCCTAGTTGGCATGACTAGACCTTACTCCATGCCATTCATAGTACTCCATATCTAACCATGGATACACAGCTCATTACCTTTTCAGTCCATTCATCAACAAAACTAAGGGCCTTCATAATATTCTCTAGGTATGGCCATTCAACTCGGTCGAATGCTTTACTCATATCTAATTTTATTGCTTGCCATCCTTTCTTTCTATTCTTCCCACTTTGCATATAGTCAAGCACTTTGTAGGCAATTAAGAAGTTATCTGTAATCAGCTTATTTGGTAAGAAGGCACTTTGCCCTTGGGAGATCACTGTCTGTAGAACTTGCTTAAAGCGATTAGCCAACACTTTCGCTAGAATTTTGTACACCACATTACAAAGGCTTATTGGTCTTAAGTCAACCATTGTCCTAGGTTCATTGCATTTTGGAATTAGTACAATATGAGTAAAATTCAAGTGCTGTGGTAAGGCTCCTCCATGATTAAGGAATTGTAAACAGGGTCTCACAACATCCTCCTTGACAATGCTCCAAAACTATTGAAAGAAAGTTGGGGAAAGACCATCAGGGCCTAGTGCCTTTGATGGGTGCATCTGAAATGGTGCTTGTCTAATGTCATTCTCAGTGAAATCACAAGCAAAAACTCATTATCTTGGATAGACACACACGGTTGCAAACAGCAACTTGGTGTATGGTAGTAGGTTGCGATGAGGAAAATAAAGTAGAGAAGTAATCAGTAGCAATACGCTGAAGATCCTTAAATTCATACTTCCACACCTCATCCTCACCTTGCAATTTATTGATTGTATTGTGATCCTTACGCCTTGATGCTCTCTTATGGAAGAAGTGAGTATTTCTATCCCCCTCTTGTAACCAAATTTCTCGAGAGCATTGACACCACATTACTTCTTCTCTTTCAAGCCATTCCTCTGTTTCAGTAATCAGTTTCTTCTCTTCTTTAACTGTGGATTCCGAGACTGACTGCTACCTTATAGACTTAATTGATCTCATACATTGCTTCACCTGCTTCTGCACATGACCAAAGTGCATGATGTTCCAATTTCCAAGTCCTCTAAGCATAGGCGGATCTTAGGTAACAGACAACACCACTCATCATCACTTTCAACGGCAGACCAACTCGACTAAATTACCTCTTGGCACCTATCATGCCGGAGCCACATCTCCTCAAATCTGAATTTTCCTCTCCTTTTGTTCTTTCTGGTATAATTTCCAACAAGTGTAATCCATAGAGGGGAGTGATCAGAAGATAATGGGGGCAACAACCTGACCTTTGCGCCAGGGAAGATTGATTGCTAGTGACCAAGTAACCAAGCCTCTATCCAACTTTTCCATTAAATCATTCCGACGCCAGGTAAACATTCCACCAACAATACATAGTTCTATCAAGCAACAACTATCAATGACTTCTTGGAAGCCCTGCAATATCCAATCAGGTTGTGGTTGTGTCACGCCCCAACCCAAAGGTTTAGGCATAACAAGCACCACACATCTTTAGATTAACCCTATAAATGTGTAAGGCCATTTTTCCTTGGCTATTAATTCAATCTCCCTTGCAATTTTAAAATAAATAATTCCATCATTAAATCTTTATAGTCTCCAAATAACAATATCAAATCCCTTAACCAAAATATAAATATTTAACATCTTATTCCATAAAACCAAATAAACTTCCAATTGAGCTATTGCTAAATTCTGTCAATTTATTCTAATGATCTCTCAATCCCCGTGCAAATCCCAATGCTCATACCTCTTCACTTGAAATGAGATGAAATTTGAAAACGTGAATTGAAGAACTCCATAAGTAGTATACCCATCCATCACAACCAAGTGTAAAAATTTAAAACTGAGTTTTTACTGAAAATAAAATGATAAAAGAAATACAATTCTTTCCTTGAAACAAGAATATTTCATTATTCGTCCCTTATGGCTGTGTAACAATCCACGAACCATGATTAATGATACTCAGTCATCAATCCACAATACACAATCCATAATACACAATCCACAATCTACAATCCATAGATCCCGGATCTATCACAATACCAACAACTCAACCCTCACAAGGGTCAATCATCCAGCCAAGACAAATAAAAGAAACCATTCCAAAAATAACAATTTCAATAATATTGGAGAAAACAAATTTAAATTAGCCATCTCCACATGGCCACAATCTCATCTCAAATTTAAATAAAAATATTATATTTGATCCACAAATCATCTCATTCCATCATTAAAAATATTTAGTAAAAATCATTCTCTAAGAAATAGATGAACAAATAATCAAATAGATAAATAAATCAAATCTGGACAAAACTCATTTAAATATATCGATTTATTTTAAAAACACTGGAAGATATATCTACTTACCTCATTTAAATTTGAAAACGTGAATTGAAGAACTCCGTAAGTAGTATACCCATCCATCAGAACCAAGTATAAAAATTTAAAACTGAGTTTTTACTGAAAATGAAATGATAAAAGAAATACAATTCTTTCCTTGAAACTAGAATATTTCATTATTCGTCCCTTATGGCTAT